ATTTCCCTTTTTTTTTCATGTCTTTTCCCTACTGTCATGACCTCACCGAGTGTACTGGTGGCTCAATGGCAATGTTTGAAATCAGTTCCTCCACAGGGCAGCGTACACGAAATGAGAGAGGGCATGAGGACCGAGGACAGGCAGAGGGCAGAAAGGAAATGGCTGCAGAAAAACCCCCCTTAGTCTCCTTGGCTGGGCTGGGGAGGCTGGAATTTCAGAGTTCCTTTGTTTGCGGCCCCCTCGCCCCCCCCGCCCGCCCCCATAATAATAGCTAACATGCTCCTGTGCCCTAGACATGGACTAACTAGTTAATCTTATAAAGGGCTCTGAAGGTGAAAGGTACTGGGGCAGTGCTGGGCATCACCATTTCTGAGTGCTTCCTCACAGTGAGAACCAGGCCCTGACCCCTGGCTAAACTGCCTCTCAGCACCATCTCTGACTTTGATATTTTTGCCCTCCAAAATGTGTTTTGCATCTTAAAAAGGTTTACTTCCCCTCTCAGTTTTGCTCTGTCAGATGCTGATCTTGGCAGTGCAGTGGGGTTTAGTCATGAGTGGTGTCTCCCTCTCTCTCTGCCCTTCCCTCCAAAGGCTGCTGAAGAGCATGGCTGTCTAACCAGACACACTGCAGCCACTGAGGCTGCTCGCTCCCAGCCCTGTCCTCTGACCTCCGGGCCAGGGGGTAGTCAGCCCTGTCCAGGCTGCCCCAGGAACCATGGTGGGCTACATGCAGCCCAATTCCTACCCTGCTTCTGCTGTCTAAGAACCTGGACTTGTCCTTTCATGGTTCACATGCTAGAACACCTGCTCTTTCCTCTGTGCAGAGCTGGTACCAGCAGCCTTTCCAGACCTCTGTGAGGCATGCTGGTTTACAGGGGTGCCATGTGAGATAAGTTTGTCATTTCTAACTTTTCCCACTCCCCCACACCCCACCCTACCTGAGGAATAACCTGAGCATATATGAATTAACAAGCATATGGTAGGGTATAAACCATGTGCTAGGAGCTCTCCTTGGTCTCAGGACTGTCAGGCAAACACAGCACAGTCCTGTTCTGGGGCCTTGGTGGAATAGGTCTAATCCAGTGGGGAGTGAAGGACAAGAGCCTCCCAGGATGAGGAGAACACAGCTGGGATGCTGTCTGGTTTGGGGGAGAGAGAAAGGGCACAAGAACCTAGCAAAGACGGACAGTTCAGAATCACATGCTCCTTTGGAACAAGGATGCTCCCCACTGGCTGGACACAGACAGTGGGGAGGAGTGCCAAAGGCTGTGTCTGGAAGCTGTGCCGATGTCGGTGTGGAAAGCCCCGGGTTCCAAGGTACCCCTCTCTGAGGGCAGTAGGTAGGTAGGTAAGCAACAAGGTGGTAAGGTCAGCTCTGCATTTGGGCTTGTAACCTCACACTGAGGACCTGCTGGAGGAGGTTTGCAATGGTTTAGGTAGGAGAGATGAAGAGCGGAAGCGTGCGCAGGATTTCTTGGTGAGAATTTAGAAGTGGCATCAACAGGATTTGAGGATGAACACTGAGACTGAGGGAACAGGTGGGCTCAGGAAAAACAGAGGGTGCTTGTTCTCTGGTGGGTCGGAAATTAGGGGGTGGGGGCTTGAGAGACAGACAGTGACTTCATTGAGTTGTGGCACCTTGAGGCAGTTAGATTGATATAAGTCCGGTAAACCAGTGGTCATTGGCACCAATTCAATGCCAATAGGAATCCCAAATTTGGGGTGCAATGAAGAAGGAAACTTTATTCAGTTGTGATACAGCACAGCTGTGAAAATAGCAACGTTGTAAGGTAGCCCTCTGGCCAGGACGCTCTCCAGCTAGAGGGCTCTGCTCCGCTCAGTGGTTTGCTCCACTCTGCTCTGAGACATCTTTGGTGTTTCATTCAACCAGGGAGCCACAGTCTTCTGTGGAAAGGGAAAGTGTGGGAGCTGACTTATATAGACAAGAGTCCTTACCCCTAGTCCCTGATTGGCCCATCTTCATGCAAATGAGGACTCCAAATCCTCAAAATTTGATTGGTCCAAATGGCACTGTGCTGATTGGTCAGAATAGAGTTGCTTGGCTGAAGCCATACAGCTCTAATTCACTGGGAAAGCCTCAGTCCTCTTGGTTGAAATAGGATTCCTGGGACTCCTTTACAAGGGCTGGCTCAGATGCAGAAACACCGTGCAGGCAGGCAGTTCAAGTGCAGGCTGCTCCCTGAAGTGCAGTTTACCTGGGAGGCCTCTATTCAGAAGTAGCTGCTCTGCTCTGTTTTTTAAAATTTGAGTGCAGTTAGCCACAGTGCTTCTTTCTAGTAAGTGTCTTTTTTTTTTCTGGGTTCACAGTCCACTGCTCAGAAGAGAAGTTGGAAGCACAGAGAATTTAGAGTCTCCATGTAGAAGCAGATAGAGACAGGGACTGTGAAAGAGGTCGTGCTGGCCCGGGAGGCCCGGGGACACAATGCTCAGACAGGTTCGGCTATGCCCACCCTGGACAATCAATGAAAGAGGTGGAGTCCTCCAAACATCAGGAGTGTGTCCTCCCAGGAACAGGGAAGACATACTACTCCAGAGCACCAGCCCTGCCATAAGGCAGTGCCCGTATCTCTCTTCACTGCACCCAGCCTCGCTGGGCAAGTCAGGCCAGGATTGTACAAAATGCAAGTAAGTGGTGCCTACAAGTGTCCTCTGTATCAACAGAGCTAGTAAGCTGGTGGTGAGCAGGCCAGAGTGGCCATGCCAGTGTGTCCTCCATTTGGGGTGAGGGGAGGTGCCTGTGTTGAAATGGCATGAAAGTGCATAGAGGGAGGCCAAGCATTTAAACAAAGTACACACTGGCCATTTCTACTCACCCTTGTACACAGTGAAGAAAGGACCAAAGAGCTTCAGAGTTGATGTCTCTTACAATAAATACTGGCCCTCTTAGTCTGGGGACCAAAGAAAATGGAGTCTGTCTGTGACAAAGTGACGTTTTCTTTTGTGCACCTAGTTGAGGCCAGTTTTTAAGATTAACAGTAAGTTCTTTTCTTCAACACATCTTATCTCAATGGATCTATCAACTTCTCCATGTGGTCACTGGTGAAAATACTGCAATCACAGAAATAAACGTTATATTTAAGTTTTAAAGTTGTGATGCGCCGAGTTCAAATAGAACAAGAAAGATACTCTGTCATTTTGTAAATTTAGCCTGAGGGCTGCAGCAGGCTTTCTTAGCCTCAGTGCCATGGACGTTCTGGGCCAGGTAATGCTGGGGAAAGGGGTATTGTGCATTGTAGGCTGTTTAGCAGCATCCCTGGTCTCTACACATTAGATGCCAATAGCACCTATTTCCCAGTTGTGACAACCAAAACTGTCTTCGTACATTGCCAGATGACCTCTAGGGGGCAAAATTGTCCCTGATTTGGAACCCCCAGGCTGGGGACTGACTGGCTCTTATGTGGCCCCAGCCTCTTCTATTCTTTTCTGATCACAGTACTTGGGTTGTAAGTAGCACTTTGCCCGGCTCTCTAAAACTGGGGCCTGTGCCAGTCTACTGTGCATGCAGAGCCAAGCCTGCCAGGAGGAGTGTTGCTGGAAGCAAACTGGTGTTTTCCTCATTGAGTTCTGCAAATCCTCATGTGTTCCATTTAGTTGGTTAGTGGTGCTGTTTGGCAGTTTGGCAGCAGGTTCCCTCAGCTCCTGTCGTTGCCATTGCTGACACACAGACGTGGGAGGCAGAGGTGCAGCAGGCTAGTAAATCCTCCACACCGAGCTCCCCATGCACTCCTGCCTCGGGCTTTTGTGCCTGTATTGATTGATTCAAAGACTAAAGAAATCCTTGGCATGGGCAGTCCTGGGGAGAAAATGCACCATTGTTAGGAAAATCATTGAGTTTTGACACAGGAACAATAGAAAGATTTTTGTTTGATTTTCTGCTTGCATAGAATTGACCTTTGGCAAAGCTTACTCAGTTGAACCGGTGTTGGCCACCGGTAAACAAGAGGAAGAGAAACCCAGGTGGCACTGGCCTTTATGAAACAGTGGAGGAGCCAAGGACATGGATGATGACATCAAGTTTCAGAGCAGTTGAACAACTTACCGCATAAGATGGCCAAGAATTCTGTCTGGGTTCAGAGCTAGTCACTGTTGTAGACCAAAGACAGCAGATCACTTTCAGAAGGGTTACTAACCTTTGACAGGGTAACAGGAACACCCCATGACAGTAAGGGGATAGTATTTTATGCTGTTCATATTGTCCTTCAGGATCAGACTGCTGTAGGCATCAAAAAATTATGAGTCATGGTTGAGGAGGTCTGTGACTGCTGGGACTTGTTAGAACTTACGAAACATTGAGGACCACAGTACCAGGGTGGCCTCCACCTTCCACGGCTGGGCTATCCCTGGGACTGCATGTCACAGGCGTGTACCACGAGTGGGAAGGACACAATAGTCTGTGCAAGTCTCTTGCCTTCAACTTGAAACCTCCTTGAGGCGTGTTCTGAGTTGCTGGGACGTTTCTGAGATAAGAATTTTGTTGGAAAATAATTGTTGGAATTCTGGCAGATAGAAATAGCTCCCATTGGAGATAGATCAAGTCAGCACAGAGAGGTGGATGAGAAAATTCTGGAGTCAGAGCCCTAGGTGGAGATTCTGCCCTAATTAACAGGTGTGGGGCTTCAGGCCAGTTACCTTCTCTCCCTCCATGCCTCAGTGTCCTGACCTGTAAATGAAGATCATTTAGCTCCTGCTTCAGAGACTTTTTCCGCACAGAGTGAGGTGGTGCGTGCCAAGGCCAAGGACAGTACCTGGCCCCTCACACACATGATTGGAGAGGGAATGACATCATGGGCGCCTCTAGTGGACCCTGTTGTCCAGGCAGGGTCATGGAGTTGCATGTTCCTGGAACAGGGGGTCTGTTCCTTTGAAACACCCCCCACTCGAGGGCATTCTGCACGTGCCCCGGACACGGAGCCCATGCTCCAGGCAGCCCAGGCAGCAGAAAGGCCACATTGAGTAACCCGCCTTGTGTTTTGCTTTCAGAATCCTTCCCAGCTTCCCTGTGGCAAAGCGCTCTACAGTTACGAGGGGAAGGAGCCTGGTGACCTCAAGTTCAACAAGGGAGACGTCATCATCCTGAGGCGCAGGGTGGACGAGCACTGGTTCCACGGGGAGCTGCGCGGCGCCCACGGCTTCCTGCCCGCCAGCTATGTGCAGTGTCTCCGGCCCCTGCCACCCGCCCCTCCCCAGGGCAAAGCCCTGTATGACTTTGAGATGAAGGACCGAGACCAGGACCAGGACTGCCTGACCTTCACCAAGGTAAGCTGGCCTCTGGGCACAGCCCTCGCACAGCAATTCCTCCCTCAGAGCCCACACCTTCCCCCTTGAATCCTGCTTCCTCCCAGGGTCTGAGTCCCACTGGGCCTCCTAGTGGCAGAGGAATCTGTTTGTCTCCCAAGGAGGTTTCGTTGTCTGGAATGAGATGGCACACAGCCTGACACATGGCTGTACCAGGAGCGACAGGGCGCTCTTGGAGCAGGACCCTTCCTCGCCTGAGTGATGTCTACGTGGTGACTCTGGTGGAGGGAATGAAGTCTTTTCGGGGCTCACAGACCCTTGGAGAGGCTCACCAGGGAAGCTGCAGAGATCCCTTCCAGGTCGCAGGGCTGGGTGGCTGGGCCCAGAAACCAGCACGTCACCCTCCCATCTTCTGGAGCACCAGGCAGAGGGTGGGCAGGTGTGCTCAGGTCCCAGTCTTGCCAAGAGGGGCCCTGGTTAGGGACAAACTGACCAGTATTGACCAGTGGCATGGAGGAGAGTAAGTAAACAGCCTTGCAAACTGTACTAGTAAGCATCAGAGGACCAGGGCCACAGCCCTAGACCCTTCCCATCCATTCTCACCTCAGGCCTCCTTGTTTTCAGGGAGGCAGCAGGGAGCCCTGGAAAGTTCTGCTCATACTTGGAGGTTCCCGTGGATTTGTTACCTGTGCTGGGCTTTATCTTTACAACCACAAGTTCCGAGGGAAGTAGTCGGAGCCTGTTGTCCACTTAAGAAAAGTCCAAGCTGTAGAGAATTTTTACAATAGTTTGAGCCAAACTGAGGGCATATGCCAGGAGTAAGGTCTCAAATGCTTCACAGAATAACAGTTTGAGGCTTGTTTTATGCATTTGGAATTAAGGAGAGAACATAAGGAAGGTTACATGGAGGTGGGAGAAAGCGAGGCAGGAACTAGATTAAAGGATAGTTAACAAGAGTATGTGCTCTCTTGAGGGTGGTCACAGTTTATTCAAATGTGTGTTAACCTAGATGCACAGAATCAACTGACAGTGCTGGCTTAAGGCAAAGTAAAGCCTTTTAGTAAATTAAAGAAGTTATATGATTGGGGTATGATTTGCCCAGTTAGGAATTTATGATCAGATTACCCTGTGAGGTTACTTTCCACAGAAGCCCTTTTCTTCCCTCCCCCTCCCCCACCCCACATAAAGTTGTAAATAACAGAGCTGGGAATATAACTCATATCTCTGACTTGAAAGCCCACATTCTTTCCACTCCTGAGAGGACATTGGTGCCTGCTTGCCTATCTCTCTCTCTTCATCTGTATAACTTGGCTGTGGCACTGAGCAGTTTGTACGGCTGCTAGGGTACCACACACACCATTTTTGAGCAAAATTTGCATGTCCAATCCATGGCTGCGGTTTGTTTTATTCCATCCTTCAGCTTGACAGTGAATAATCTATTTTTCACTCTGGTGTTCTGAGGCTAATTCCAAGTGTCTTCTGGCTGATGCAGCCTCCCAGGAAGCCAGCATCCAGGGTCCTTCCCCACCACCCCCCTCCGCTAAAGCTCCCCTCTCCCTCTTTCTCTCAGTCTGAGGTGAGAATGGCAGGCATCCCAGTGTCAGGCAGACAGAAGCCCTGCCTTACTCCCTTCTCTGACCAATAGACTCTCCAGAGCTTCCCTAAAGATGAACCCTCTGGGAGCCCAGATGCTCTGTGCCATAACTTTTGACCAAGAGCAGGGACCCCAATGACCTCTCAGGGTCCACAGGGGCTCTTGCTAACCTTGTATCTGGGCTCCAGAATTTCATCAGTGAAGAGCTTCCTGAAAGGTACAGCTGCAGAGAGCCCCCCCGCCCCATCCCCACCTCTGCCCCCTCAGGGCCCTACCCTTGCCCCATCCTGCTTCTCCACTATAAGGTCCATTATTTCAGACTCTGCCCAGGACACTCAGCTTCGGGGTAAAGACCGTGGGACCCGAGGACAGAGGGGGCATTGTCTACTTCACAGAAATGTAGCAGGCCCACCCTGCTGGGAGCTGTGCAGGATCCCAAGGGTACAGACAAATTCACTGCTCCCCAGGAGCCTGAAGTCCAGTGGGAGAGACAGGGAACAGCAGTCTGGGACTAGTGCTCAGAAGATAGTTTCAGAGAATAAAATGAGACACTGGTCACCCAGGAGGCATACCTGTATGTAGTAAGGCCTCTAAATATTCAGGGATAGAATTTAATATTTGATACTTAAAGAAGCACAAGGTAGTCCTCATGGGTAAAACTAGAACTCTCTTAGGCTTCCTTAGAGTTATTCTGTGGTTGGTGTTGTTTTTCCTTTGAATTATGTTGCGGGGGGGAGTTGTTTTGTGCTGGTCTCAGTCTATCAAAATCAATGTTGTGGCTGAAGCAGCCCTTGTGTTTCTTACTATTATTATAAGACATCATTCAGCAGTAACCATCAGAAAACTTTGGAAAGACAAGGTTTGTTACATACAGTGAGGTTTAGATGAGACTGAGTGCATGGGCCTGGGGTCTGCTCTTATTCAGGTCAAGGGTTGGGGCCTAGGTTTCCAGGGCTCACTCATTGTTTTTTTTTAAAAAAATCTGTATTGTTGAAAGTATTACAGACATCCGCCGCCCCCCCCCCCCCCCCACCCCCCACCCCCCCGTTGTTCCCCTCTACCTAGTTCCCACTCCTCTCCAGGTCAACAGCACTATTGTCTGCGTTCATAGGTAATGCATATATGCATATAAATTCTTTGGTTAATCTCTTCCTTTCCCCTTCCCTTTGAGATTCCTTAGTCTGTTCATGTTTTCATGACTATGATTCTATTTGATTCATCAGTTTATTTTGTTCATTAGATTCCTTGTTTGTTTATTTTGATTTTTAGATTCAATTGTTAATGGATATGTATTTATTTCCATTTTATTCTTATTTTTTATCTTTTTCATCTTTTTAAAAAATAAATAAATCTTTATTGAAAGTATTACATATGTCCCCTTCTAAGCTGCTTCCACCCCCCAACACACCTTTCTACCTGCCCCAGGCCTTCACCACCTTATAGTCTGTGTCCGTGGGGTATGCATACTAGTATATGTCCATGAGTTATTTGGTTGATCTCTTCCCACCCACCCACCCACACTCCCATGCCTTCTCTCTGAGATTCCACAGTCTATTCCATGTTTCTGTCTCTAGATCTATTTTGTTCATCATTATTTTGTTCATTAGAGTCCACATATGAGAGAGATCATGTGATACTTGTCTTTCTCTGACTGGCTTATTTCACTTAGTATAATACTCTCCAGGTCCATCCATGCTGTCTCAAAGGTAAGAGATCCTTCTTTCTTACTGCTGCATAGAATTCCATTGTATATATGTACCAAAGCTTTTTTATCCACTCATCTACTGATGGGCACCTGGGCTGTTTCCAGATCTTAGCTATTGTAAATTGTGCTGCTATGAACATAGTTATGCATACATTCATTATGATTGGTGTTTCAGATTTCTTAAGATATATTCCTAGAAGAGGGATCACTAGGACAAATGGCAGTCCCATATTTAATTTTTTGAGGAAATTCCATACTGTTTTCCATAGTGGCTATACCAGTCTGCATTCCTGTCATCAGTGTACTAGGGTTCCTTTTTCTCCGCATCCTCACCAGCACTTGTCATTTGTTGATTTGTTGATGGTAGCCATTCTGACAGGGGTGAGGTGATAGCTCATTGTCATTTTAATTTGCATTAATTTAATGATCAGTGACTTTGAGCATTGTTTCATATGTCTCTTGGTCATCTGTATGTCCACTTTCAAGAAGTATCTTTTTAGGTCTTTTGCCCATTTTTTAATTGAATTGTTTGTCTTCCTTTTGTTAAGTTGTATGAGTTCCTTATATATTTTGGATATTAACCCTTTATCAGATATATCATTGACAAATATGTTCTCCCATACAGTGGGCTTCCTTTTTGTTTTGATGATGGTTTCTTTCGCTGTGCAGAAGCTTTTTATCTTTATGTAGTCCCATTTGTTTATTTTCCCCTTAATTCCCTTTGCCCTAGGAAATGTATCAGCAAATATATTGCTATGAGATATGTCTGAGATTTTGCTGCTTATGGTTTCTTCTAGTATTTTTATGGTTTCACGACTTACATTTAAGTCTTTTATCCATTTTGAGTTTATTTTTGTGTATGGTGTAGGTTGGTGGTCTAGTTTCATTTTTTTGCATGTATCTGTCTAAATTTCCCAGCACCATTATTGAAGAGACTGTCTTGACCCCATTGTATGTTCTTGCCTTCTTTGTCAAATATTAATTGAGCATAATGGCTTGGGTCAATTTCTGGGATCTCTGTTCTGTTCCATTGATTTATATGCCTGTTCTTGTGTCAGTACCAGGCTGTTTTGATTATGGTGGCTTTGTAGTATAATTTGATATCCAGTATTGTGATTCTTCTAACTTTGTTCTTCATTCTCAAGATTGCTGCAGCTATTTGGGGTCTTTTTTTGCTCCATATAAATTTTTTGAGTATTTGTTCTACAGCTGTGAAATATGCTGTTGGTATTTTAATGGGGATTGCATTGAATCTGTAGATTGCTTTGGGTAATATGGACATTTTAATGATGTTGATTCTACCAATCCATGAACCCTGTATATTCTTCCACTTGTTTATATCTTATTCTATCTCTTTTTTCAATGTCCTATAATTTTCTGAGTACAGGTCTTTTGCCTCATTAGTTAAGTCTATTTCTAAGTATCTTAATTTTCTTGTTGCCATGGTAAGTGGGGTTATTTTTTAGTTTCTCTTTCTGAGAATTCATTATTGGTGTATAAAAATGCCATTGATTTCTGGGTGTTAATTTTGTATCCTGCTACATTGCTAAATTCAGTTATTAAATCTAGTAGTTTTTTGATGGACTATTTACGGTTTTGTATGTACAATATCATGTCATCTGTGAATAATGGGAGTTTTACTTCCTCCTTTTTCACTTTGGATGCCTTTTGTTTTTCTTCTTGTCTGATTGCTGTGGTTATGACTCCCAATAGTATGTTGAA